CCGGTGCCCCTCACTCCCGACCCGCAGCCCCCATAGCCCAGCCCTGGGCCCCCAGCTCTGCCGGTGCCCCTCACTCCCGACCTGCAGCCCCCATAGCCCAGCCCTGGGGGCCGCCACACCCCTCACTCAGCCGATGCCCTTTGACCCTCGCCCCACCCCATTCATGCTGTGGAGCTGCCCCGTGGCGTTGCAATGTGGACAAGAGTCCACTAGGGGGCAGAGCCGAGCCCCACCAGCGAAAGGCCGCAGGGCCCCGAATTCTCACTCACCCGGGGGCCGGGCCCCCCTTCATCAGGTTGTAAACCTGCCGCGGGTTGAGGAGATACTGGAGCTTCCGGAGCACCCTGGTCGTGGAGATGAGGGGAGGGGTTCAGGAGCGGCGCCGACAAGCCTAGAACCCACCGGGCATCGCCATGGACCCCCCCCCCCGCCCTCCTCCGGACAGTCTCGATCATGGGGGGGTGCAGGGCAGCCTTGGGGGCTGGGAGGGGGCAGCTGTCCAGGGGCATGTCCCTTAGACCAGGGTGTAGCAATGACATCATGGTAATGAGACTGTCACCCGGCAACCTCAGAACAACCCTCCCAAACCCCTCCACCCGTCACACGAGATGGGGAAACTGAGGCCCAGACAGGCAGAGAGACTTGCCCGAGGTCACACAGAGAGCTGGGAAGAGAACCCAGGAGTCCTGCCTCCCCCCCCCGCCCCGCCCCATGTCTAACCATTAGACCCCACCCTTCTCGCACTCAGGGCCGGCTCCAGGCACCAGCTAAAGAAGCAGGTGCTTGGGGCGGCCAATAGGAAGGGGCGGCACTTCGGCTGCTGTTGGGGCGGCATGTCCGGGGTCTTCGGCGGCAATTCGGCGGCGGGTCCCTCAGTCGCTCTGGGAGCGAAGGACCTACCGCCGAATTGCTGCCGAAGAGTGGAGCGGCGCGATCGCGCTGCCGCGGCTTTTTTTTTTTTTTTTTTTTTTTTTTGCCGCTTGGGGCGGCAGAAAACCTGGAGCCGGCCCTGCTCGCACTGCCTGAGTCCTGGCTCCCAGGAGCCCCCTCTGCTAGACCCCACCTCTCTTACCTCTCCCCCTGTTTCCCGCCGCTCTTGGGGTTGACGAAGACCAGGAGGGGGTGGGTGTCGGGCACTGGGATGATCTGCAGAGTGGGGGAAAGGGGAAATGAAAGGAGGGGACGCGAACAAGTCGCGAGCGCTGGCCGGAGCAAACCACAGCCGGGGCTGGGGGGGAGCAGGGCAACGCCTGGGCGCGGGAAGAAGTGCACGTGGTGGGGTCTGCGCCTGCCCAGCTGATGCCAAGTGTGCAGGCTGGGGCCAAGTTGCACGGTCACCTTCTGCCACCAGAGGGAGCCACTGTGCCCTGTATGAGCCAATAGTGAGCGCCCTCGGTGTGTACGGACCACTGTGAATGGGGCTGGGGGAGCTAGGGGGGGGGGGGGGGGGGGCGGGGCGGGGCGGGAGGGGGGGCGGGGGGGGGGGGGGGGGTTGTTACCTCGTTCTGGGCAGGGATAAACTCCCTCATTTTTTGAAATCCCGGCCCCACCCCCGCCCGGGGCCCTGCCGTGGGGCCTCGCCCAGGGTCTATTGGCGGTGGCCGCGCCCCGCCGGTGCCAGCTGAAGAGCAGCGCGGTTGGGGGGGTCGCCCCCACTCACCCGCAGCGCCTGGCCCTCGGGCGTGGTGCAGGGCTGTGGCGTCTCCTCCACCGGGGTCCCGCCCTCGTTCTTCTGGCTGTTCTGCCTCTCCTGGAACCCAGAGCCGGGGTGTCACCTGGGGGCAGGGGCCCGGAGCCCTGGGAGAGGAATCAGCAGCCCCCAGGGGCTCCGTGGGGTCCAGGGGCGGAGCTGCTGCTTTGGGTTCAAAGCCCAGTGGGGCACAGAGCCCCTCACCGGTGGCCTCTGGTCCCTCCCCAGCGTGGGGCGGGGGGAACTCCCCAGCCTGGCAGGCGCCCGGACTGGGCCATACAGCCCTAGCCAGGGGCTCGGGGCTGGCCCCGCCGCCCGCGGGGACGCACTCACCAGCACGACAGGGTAGATGGCCGAAGGGGGCAGGACGTGGTCCCGCAGAGCCCCGCAGTCGCAGGTCAGGGGCACGCTGGGCTGGCACTCCTCGTGGATCTGGGGGAGACGGGGGTTAGCACGGCGCATGCTCCTGGCCCCACCTCCCCTGAAGCCACCCCCAGCCCCCGGCAGAGCGACAGGGGCACGGGGGGGGGGGGGGTCGCCCCCCCCTTGAGGTGGCACCAGACGCAGTGAAGCCCCGTCAGGCTCTGGAAACTCTTGATCTTCTTCTGACACTTGTCGCACTTGCTGGCCTCGCAGCCGCCCTTCACCCACACGTGGCTCTGCGCCTGGGGGGGTGGGGGGGGCGGCAGTGAGCTACGGGGGCTGGGAGCCAGGACACCTGGGTTCTCTCCCCAGCTCTGGGAGGGGAGTGGGGTCTAGTGGCTTAGAGCGGGGGGTGAGGTGGGCTGGGAGCCAGGACTCCTGGGTTCTCTCCCCAGCTCGGGGCGGGAGGGGAGTCTAGTGGTTTACGGGGGGGCTGAGAGTCAGGACTCCTGGGTTCTAGTCCCAGAGTCTGTCAGCCCATCAGTGGCAATTCCCTTCCGCGCGCTGTGCCTCAGTTTCCCCATCTGTACAATGGGGTCAGCGAGCACGTGGCAGGCACTTGGGGGTGGAGGATGGTTCTGGGGACCAGGGGCCGTCGCGCCGGGACGTGGCCAGACAGACCCGGGGGGTCCCCTGCCCCCCACTCACGCTGGTGTCCTTGCGGGACTTGGCGTAGGTGCTGATGCAGCTGAGGGGTGCCAGGCGGGCGCAGCGCTCGTGGGCCGTGAACTTGCAGACTGGAGGCAGAAAAGGCAGGTTAGTGACCAGGGAGGAGGGGCATGAGCTGGACAGGGGCGGGGCTTAGCTCCTCCTCTAGCCCCACCCCCATTCTTCCCCCTAGACTCCCTTAAAGGTCCTGCTCAATGATTGGCTGGGCTTAGAGCGGGCCAGCCAATCACATCTGACTGGAAGGAGGTGGGCGGTGGTTAGGCCACTGCCCCGCCCACCGGGTGACCAGCCAGCCAATGGCAGTTTGAGCAGACGCCACAATGCTGATTGGCTTGTTTCTCATTGGCTGAATGAGAGGTGGGCGGGGTCGCCCCAGGCTGAGCCCCCCCCAGCCCCACACTACTCACAGCGCCCCCTGGGCACCTTTCCCTGGCTTGTGACCATTTCTCCAGGGGGGCCGAGGTGGGGGGATCCCCCTTCCCTGGCCATGCCCGCGTCAGGGGGAGGGGGGCAGAGGGGACCCCCCACCACACCCATGTCAGGGAGAGGGAGTGAGGGGCAGAGGGGGGGCCGTGCCCGTGTCAGGGGGGCAGAGGGGATCCTCCACCATGTCCGTGTCGGGGGCCGTGCCAACATCGGGGGGATGGAGGCCAGGGGGGCTGGGGGGCCGTGCCTGTGTCGGGGGGGGTCAGAGGAGGCCGTGCCTGTGTCGGGGGGGGGGGG